CGCAACGCCAACATTTTATGATGCAAGCAAATTCCTTCGTGTACAAAGGCTCCTTTTCCTATTTGACTAAGAATTTCAATTTTCGGTGTAATGAAAAGCAAAAATTAAACACCAGTCAGCCTAAAAGGTTATAACTAAAAAGTCAATAAGACAAAAAGCCAAATTTTCAAAATCTCTACGACTCAAAACCGATCTAAGAGATCGGCACACTATGACAGCCAACACCGGTTAGACGGTGTTGTGTCGGCGGTGGTGAGTCGGTGGTGATGGAATATCCTCTCTTGGGTGCATCAAGACGCTCCACAGATTCTTTTTCTTTATCATTTGTGAATTAATATGTATTCTTGGGAAACAGGGAAGTTGCTTCCTGTTGTCTTCTTCACGGTTTGGGGATTCATATTTTCTTTCTTCTCTTAGACTCGTTGCTGCTCAAGGCTATATGTAATCCATAGATGGAGCGAGGGAAGATGGGTTTATATGTTTTCCAAAAGCATTTTTTTTGTGAGCATGAACTCAACTGACAAAGCTGCTAGTTGAATCTTGAAGAAGTCAAATGACTTATGTTCTAACATGGCTGCCTCCTTGAGTCTCCTTGTAAAGGCAGGCCAGCTAATCTACCTCATTTATAGGAGAGTACAGCAGTTGGGTTATTCCACCTTACTAGAATAGACCTACCCAACACATTTGCATGAGTGGACTCTATTCTCTGATATATATATATCTGCATTAAATCACTCAGTGCTTTTTTTTTCACCTTAAAGTGACTACACCAGTGTTCCGATGTGTCAGATTACTTGCAAGTTAACCAATATTCTACATGGTGCTGTGAACCGGATCTAATTATTAGCAAGAGCTCCTTATCAAAATTTGCATTCCAGTTGACTCTGCCTGGACTTATGCTGAAATGTTTGTGAGAGAAAACATCACCAAGAATAGATTCTCTATGACAGAACTGGGAAATCCTCAAAGACCTAGATGCCACAATAATGGGTCATGCCCTAACCATTCTAAAACTAGCAAAGGAGGCAGCCATGTTAGAAGGGAAGTCATTTAACTTCTACAGCTCCCAATTCCTCTATCACTCATATCTTTTCTCGCTCCAAATCCTCTGTAACCCCTTGCGTACTAGCGGCTTCCCACCTTGTTTGGGGTGAAACGCTTAAAAAAAAAAGATTGTATTTAATGTCACCCCTGTTTGTTTATAACTATATTTGCGAGATTTTCTCCCTTGACTGAAAAGTCAAATCACTTCGTGAATTTATGCGGTCAGTAAAAAAAATCCACAGAGAAAAACAATAAAATTTCATTTACTCTGTAAACATTTGAACAGTAAACAGGCATAGACAAGAAAAATAACAAACTTTAGAGAGAAATCGAAGTCCTCCATTCTTAGATACAAGCTTAAAACTGAGCCAGTGATAACTTGAATAAAGCTACTATCAAACAAATATATTTATAGATAATCAGTATTTGATCGCTTAAAAGCATTCAGCAAACAATACTGATTAAGAAATTTAAAATCATCCACAGCACAGACAAAACGTGATATGAAGTTGAAAGAAATAAATGGTGAAAACAGACATGTTCAGAAAAATGCTTTTTGGGTCACAGTGTGAACAAAGGGATCACCCGTTGTCACCGCCATCGATGCAAAACACTTCAAAACATCCAGATATCTTAGGCCATTATGAAGAAAACGATCTCTTGCGTTTTGGGTCACAGTGTGAACAAAGGAATCACCCGTTGTCACCACCATCGATGCAAATCACTTAAAAACACCCAGATACCTTAGGCCATTATTAAGAAGACGACCTCTTAAGTTTTGGGTCACAGTGTGAAAAAAATTGATCTCTCATTACCTCCACCATCAAGGCAAATCATTTCAAAACATCCAAATATTGGAAACCAACATTCAGGAGACTATCTCTTAAGTTTTGGGTCACAGTGTGAACAAAGGGATCTCCCGTTGTCTCCACCATCGATGCAAATCACTTCAAAACTTCCAAATTCCGTAAACCAACATTAACAAGTCGATCTTTTGAGTTTTGGTTCTAAGGTTTTTTGTTTTGTTTTTTTAGAAAGAGACCTTTAGCTGTCTCCATCAACGAACTAATCTCATAAATTATGAACAACAGAAATGCCAGCAGACGATGGATATTAAGAGGAGTATCAAGATTAACAGCTAACCCGCAAGAAGAAAAGCATCCTCCACATCAGAGATATAACAGATGATAATAAAAAATGCCATTTTTGTCTACTTAGATGCGTAAAGGGGACGATTTAGAGGATCTACAGACGATACAATATTATGACCGTATTAAAAGACAAGTGCAATCTTTTGAGATACCTAGTCAGATCTATGTTTTCATTAGAACAGAACATTTACCATAATAGATATACATGACCTTCCTTATAGTTGTGACAATGAATGCAAACATGAAAGCTAATTCCTTTTAAAAAAGAGGACTGAGAACGTCAAAGAACCGTAATCTCTGAGTATTACATGAAACCAAGTATAGCTGATCATGTATGATAGGTAACTACTATCAACAACTCCTACGAAATGATGTCAGGATAATTGGGAAAATACTGAGAATAACATGATTGAAAGCATCGGTAGGCTGATTATAAAATTCAGCACCATGTTGGTAAGGAAAAACATTTGAAATTATCCCCACCACATACATATATTTTGGTTCAATGGAATGAACCAGAATATCATCAAAACGTGGGATTGCCTAACATAGCCTTTATATGCAGAGGGGATTAAGTAAAGTGTTCTCTTATAAATTCCTAGAAGTTTAATCAATTTCTCAAATAACAGAAGATGACCGACAAGAAAACTGTCGAAACGTTGTGATTATAATAACCAAGATAAGGACAGTATTTCGATAAATTTCAGTGCATATTAATGTTAATTCTTAATATCAGGAATTATTGGCTTTATCTGTAATTGTCAGTAATCCTAAGAAACATAATTGTCGAAAATGCCGCCATTTCTTTCTCCTCTGAAAGCGTTCTATCTTTTGTAAACGTCACCAAACAAATTATAGCGAATTATTTTAACAGTTTTCTAGCTTTGAAACAAAGAGTGAATTTACTAACCGAGATAATAGGCCGATTGTTCGACTCCTCTGTAGGAGGTAATATCGTCCTGCTGGTGATTCTGCCATCGATGCTTTCTTCGGGGCAGAACCAATTAACACGAACTCAATCAACATTTTACATAAAGCATCCATCTTTAGCTGTGTGCCCCGGACTTGTTTAAATATGTGCCCAGCTGTTGGTTGACCAATCAGTGATGTTTGTATATTTTGTGCGATGCGCTTTGTGGTTGGTCAGCGCATGTCCTAACAAGCGCCCGACTAACAGAAATATCCGAGACGTTAATGTCCAGAAAACTTTAATCTGGATTTTCATCGGTCGCCGCTCGAGGGTCGAGGCTGCGTTATACCAAAGATACAGTGGCGGAAGCGGAAAGGTAATTTGGAACGTGAAGTGAAGAGGTCTTTGCGAGATTTTCCGTTCGTTGCAGTGTTTTGGTTAGGTAGCTGATACTTAAATTGTTCGGGGAATTTTTTTTTTTTTTTTTACAATTACAGTATCGTTTATTGCCAGTATTATTATTAAGGGGGTTTATTTTTAAAGGGATTTTGATTAAGCGAGTGGTTCATTTCATTAGCTTATTTTACCTGATATTTTTACTTGGTGTTAATACACAGTTCTCTATAAACTGGAATATCTAACAATGAGACGCTAAAGCATATAATAAGAATAGGCGCACTTGTCAAAGTAATCATAAAACCTCATCTCAGAGATATAGACAGATATTAAAAATTGTTTATTTAGAAGAACAATTACTACATGATATAAAGAAGCACCAAAGATTTTTCAAACTTACCAAAAAAGGAACTTTTTAAATAATTGACATGTTTGGCTCGATTTTGAGAAATAAATCACTATACGCGTTTCAGCTCGGGACTGCGCCCACAGATGCATAAGTGTTGTTGATAGGGTCATCAGTAATTCCTGGGTCGGATTTAGATGAAGAGGTTATTCCTAGGCTATACATGAGCAACGATGATGCAGTTAGCCGCCACTGACAACCAGATCTGTTTTCCGCTTCACGAAACAGCGTCCGAGTGTTCATCCTGGTCGATTCTTTGATGATGCGTATACAGCTTTTCGGACTGCCTCCCCCTCCCTCTACCAACTTGAAATACCGTCTTGGAGAGAGTATTGTCGTGTTTCCAAACAAACCAAAACAGTATTCTCCTCTTTACTGTTGCCAAGCGAGGCTCGTTGGAGTCCTGCCAGTTGTATTACTTGACCCTGTATAAAGTTAAAAGTTTAAAAAGAAACTATCAAATTATCTCCTCTCTCTCCTTGCTCATGACCGAACCAATCGTAGAGGAGACATGGGCGACGATGAGGCAGCCAGCCGCCGCTGCCAGCCAGACCTGTTTTCAGCCTCAGAAAGTGTCCGTACTGGTCCATTCTTTGATGGTGCCTATACAACTTTTGGACTGCCCCCCCTCCCCTACGTCTACCCGCTTCCAATGTACCTTGAAAGACCATCTTGGGTAGATTATTGTGGTGTATTGTTATGGTGCAGGTTAGGACCAAGGAAGAACAACACGAACACAAGAGTAGAAATAACGAAGGTATATTACACGAAATAATAATACAAGATGTTGAAGGTGTTAGTATGACTGTCAGTCTGGTTTGGAGTGAACTACTATCGGCTCGCCTCGTTTCGTCCCTTTCTCTTGAGAGGCGTAGTATAAATAGTGTTAGGAAGAGTTCATTCTGTAGTTATAGGTAAGGACCCATGACAATTATCTATCTATCTATCTATCTATCTATCTATCTATCTATCTCAGTCTGTTCATATCTATCGATCTATCACAGTCTGTTGATTATCTATCTATCTATCTATCTATCTATCTATCTATCTATCTATCTATCATGATCCATTCTGTAGTTATAGGTAAGGACCCATGACAATTATCTATCTATCTATCTATCTATCTATCTATCTATCTATCTATCTATCTATCTATCTATCTCAGTCTGTTCATATCTATCGATTTATCACAGTCTGTTGATTATCTATCTATCTATCTATCTATCTATCTATCTGTCATGATCCATTCTGTAGTTATAGGTAAGGGCACATGACAATTATCTATCTATCTATCTCAGTCTGTTCATATCTATCGATCTATCACAGTCTGTTGATTATCTATCTATCTATCTATCTATCTATCTATCTATCTATATCTATCATGATCCATTCTGTAGTTATAGGTAGGACCCATGACAATTATCTATCTATCTATCTATCTCAGTCTGTTCATATCTATCGATCTATCACAGTCTGTTGATTATCTATCTATCTATCTATTTATCTATCTATCTATCTATCTATCTATCTATCTATCTGTCATGATCCATTCTGTAGTTATAGGTAAGGGCACATGACAATTATCTATCTATCTATCTCAGTCTGTTCCTATCTATCGATCTATCACAGTCTGTTGATTATCTATCTATCTATCTATCTATCTATCTATCTGTCATGGTCCATTTTGTAGTTATAGGTAAGCACCCATGACAATTATCTCTCTCTCTCTCTCTCTCTATCTATCTATCTATCTATCTATCTATCTCAGTCTGTTCATATCTATCGATTTATCACAGTCTGTTGATTATCTATCTATCTATCTATCTATCTATCTATCTATCTATCTATCTATCTATCTATCTATCTATCTATCTGTCATGGTCCAGGTTAGGACCAAGGAAGAACAACACGAGCACAAGTGTAGAAATAACGAAGGTATATTACACGAAATAATAATACAAAATCTGGAAGATGTTAGTATGACTGTCAGTCTGGTTTGGAGTGAACTACTATCGGCTCGACTCGATTCGTCCTTCTCTCTTGAGAGGCGTAGTATACATAGTGTTAGGCAGAGTTATAGGTAAGGACCCATGATATGTATATTTCCAAGCAAACCGAAGCAGCATTCTCCTCTTTACAGTTGTCAAGCGTGGCTACTGGGCGTCCTGCCAGTTGTATTGCGCTGCCCTGTATAAAAGTCATTTGTTTCGGCATCTCGGGATCAAATTATCAGGACCATGAAATCGAAGTAACAAAAATGGGGACACTTAAAACTACAATTATCCCTGATGTGATAGGGGTACTGGATATGATGAAGAAGGGTACCGAAAATCATAAGTAATATTACTGGACACATCAGAATCTCAGAGCTACAAAAAATTACTTGAGGAACTTGCATATATCATTCGCAAAAGCCTTTCCGCCTTAACGAAAGGTCCCAAATGTGCATAGATAAAAGTGCCCCGTTTTTTCTCGTAGACCCGGGGAGGGGGGCGAATTGGCAATTAGACGCTTAAATTTACTGATTTAAAGTTAACGCACACAATAATGTATGTATAGCTGGCCCCTCATATTCGAGGATACCTGTCTACTAGGGCGGCTAGCCAGTCCCTATTGCAGACGCTTGCTCAGGCGCATTTGTGTTTATTCAACACCCACAGAACCCACCTGTGGTTTACACTGTTGCAGTTTTTTTGTGTATTGTTTACTAGTGAGCCGGTCAAAATGACTTGACTCATTTTATAGTCTACCAATAGAAGGTTAACCAATCAGAAGACGTAAAGTATTCAATCCATCGTGTATAAAGGCGGCCATTTTGTTTACTCTATCCGAATGTCCAGTCCAGCTTGTCAGGCGAAGAGAAACAGAAGGACGAACTATGCTTTGATACTTTTACCAAAATATCCACTGCTAACCTGAACAACGCTTTCCTACTGTCTTCGAAATATTCAATGCTAACCTCTGGATTCTTTACTCAAAGACGACCGTCATCATGAAAACAAAATATACTGCATAGTTACAGTTTCTGGGAAAGATCGTGATCAACAATTTGAACAAGGCCAGCACGCTCGGCCACGATGACCTGTGACTCGTGATTGTACTGCTATCGACGGCACCCAAAGTTTCCGTCTACCAAGTTTCACTCACAAGGCATGGGTCTACATGTAATTTGGTTTTCAAAGTTGCCGTAGGGATCGAACCCTCCAGTCCAATAACATTAGAAAGTCTCCTTCCTGAGAAATCGACTATGGTGAGATTCGAACCTGGGACTCATTGTCAGAATGTGAACGTTCTAAGCACTCGGCCAAGTGCCCAAATTATAACGACCAGCAATAATAATAACGATAATAATTCCTTATTTTCAAAAATGCGATCAGAAACACGCCGTAAATGATTTGGTTTTTGTGGTGTCTCTATTTTACAAAGTAAGTGTTACTTTAACTCTCTGACGGTAATGGTTAATGAGTTCCATATGCAAATGAGATCCATATGCAAATCACTATACAAAAGACATTTGGCTAACCCGTTATGGGAAAGCAGGCTTTAATTAGTTATAGGTGGAAAACCTATAATTTATACCGGGTTATTATAATCCTATAATCAAGACCTTATTTGGTTTTTATGTCATACGCAGACAATAATGTTTCGCTCCTCAGTGCAACTAGACATCCGAATGTCTCAAGCCAGGACTGAAACCCGACCAATTTGGTGTCAGTTAGAGTTTCTACCGCTGAGCTATCATCATTCAACAGAGAGGAACAAACGTAAACAAACGCCAATCAGTCAGAGGGCTCCAATTCACTTTACTGAAGAGCTTTGGATTAGCGCAGGTGGCTGTTGTTTATAGTATCAGCTTATAAACCTATAATTAAAACAATTTTTTTTTCGTAAATCTGTAATTAAAACCAGATTCTGTTAGAAATCGATAATAAATATTTTCATTTTTAGAATAAAAACCGGATTCTGCGGTGGACATTAATTGGTCAATTTCAACGCTGAGTGCGCGCATGCGTAACCAACACTTCCGTTTTTGCATAAATGGGTAGAAAATCAGAAGCCGGAGAACATTCATTTTTAGCAGATATGAACTCATTGTCAGATAAACAAAGGCGTTCAAAGCCATAAATGTATCATGGAAAGGAATAAGGGACAAATAATCATTAAGAAGCTAGAAAAAAAAAGCAAAAAATGATTTATATTTACAATTATTTTTTAATTTACATTTTTTTAAATCAAAACTTCCATATTTGCATAGACAAAAAATCAGAAATTGGAGGACATTTAAATTGTGAATGAGAAAAAAAAATCAAGGTGATAATGCTACTAAGACGCAAGGCGGCAACTGAGAATGAAAGAGAATGAGAAGACCTTATAAGCAACCGGAAACTCAATCCTAAACAGGAAACAAGCGATACCCCCTCTACTCCTGTTCAAAATACGGAGAGGCCTGTGATCCTGACAATAAGCGATCCTGTCTACTGTTTTTTTACCTAACCCCGATGTGTTCAAAGGTTCTTTAAGCTGTCCAAATTATCTGTTGACACCATGAGGAATCAATATTTGTCAATTTAATTTTTTAAGCATTGCGGCACAGGTTTTGAAAGATGCTAGTCCTGGGTATGACGATAATCTCCATTGTGTTCTAAAAGTCACGCAACAATTGGCAGAAAACATATTCTTGTGAAATAGCATCCAAGGAAAATTTGCATGACATCATCTTCCATAATTCGACCCAAAAAATTTCTTAATATATTACCACATACAGAAACAAGATTCCATTTGTTAAATAAATAGAAAAGTTAAAAGGTTATCCATGGTAATGCGACTTTTGGAAAAACCCTGTACATACGTCGCTACCGAGTGTGACACAAGGACAAGGTTTAAAGTGGGATCTGACCGCAACACCGTGGAAAAATTGCTCAATCTCCATTTGCTCTTCAGTTTGCGGACGTCTCAGGCACCGGGCAATAAACCCAGCCTACCCTCGAATGAGAGGTACTCACTAGAGAAAAGGCCCCCTGGGGATTAGGTTTAATATAGTTAAAGAATATGAATCCCAGCCAAAGGCCGGGATCGTATACAATGCCTTCAACTACAAATATTTTGGACATAATTTTATATTTCCAGGGTAAAAGTATATCAGGATGCGATGGATAAATTGTCGTCCATATGACGCAAAAATGAAAATAACCCTGATATCTCATTTTAACATATATACTTACCAAAATTACAGAGAAATATCTTGAAATAGTAAAGAGTAAAATTATTCAATAAAATCGCCATTGGCTTCCACCACGGCCTCCAGACGATTTCGGAATAGCCTGCAACTCTTTTGGCCGTTTTCCTTAAATTGGTAAATGCTGCCATAATCCTTGTTTCAGTTCATCTTTGGTGTTAAAAGGATTTTTTTTTAATCTTTCACTTAACTGCGGTCCACATATAATAATCAAGGCGGTTGCTGTCTGGGGAGTGAAACAAGAAAATCATGAATGTGACTGTTAAATAAATCTTTCTGTTCATTATCTATCTATCTATCTATCTATCTATCTATCTATCTATCTATCTATCTCTGTTCCTTATCTATCTCTCCACCTCTTCCTCAATCTATCTATCTAGAAAATTGAAGACATTTTAAGACCCGATTACGCAAACAGGGTGCGATGGACAAATTGTAGTCTAAATGACCACCCCACCAAAAAAAAAAAAAAGAAAATAACATTTACATCTCATTTTAACATATATATTTACCAAAATTACAGAGAAATATCTTGAAATACTAAAGAGTAAATTTATTCAATAAAATCGCTGTTGGCTTCAACCACGGCCTCTACAGGATTTCGGAATCTCTTGCAACTTTTCTGGACTGTCTCTTTGTTTAAGTTTGTGAATGCTACCATAATCGTTGCCTTCAATTCATCTTTGGTGTTCAAAGGAGTTTTGTTGGTCTCTAGCTCAACTGTGTCCCCGCAAATAACAAGAGGATTAAAGTCTGGAAACTTAGGGATGATGTGGTCGCAGAAATTGTCTGACAGCCATAACAGGGTTCTCCTGCTTGTGTGGCATGTTGCTGAGTCCTGTTGCCAGATATAGGGTCTTCCAGCAGCCAGCCTCTTTGCCCAGGGAAGCACTACCTACTCACGACACTTGATGTAGGCCTCTGTGTTGAGTCTGAGGTCATCACCAACAAATTCTTTTCATCATAACGATCCGAGCTACCGTACCTTTGTAATCTGTATTAGACTCATTGAACAGTTTACCAATTCTCTGCACTTTCCTTAGATTGACATCCAAACACTGAGAAATGTTTATATTAGAGCTTACGGCGCGAATGCCAAGCAGTGCAGTATTCCGTTTTCAAATTTTTAGCGGAATCAATTGCGTCATGGTGCTTATTTTCTCATAGATTTTGCCCGACTAACTCCACTATACTGTGCAGTCGACAAAATCAAACAAGACGCTGTGAATGGCTATTTATGCTCTCGCGCGCCGATTGAATACTATGGAGAATAGGAAAATTATAACAGCTGCTGCTGATGCCTTAATGCAACGTGCTTCGCTATGGCCGCCGCTATGGTCGCCTCTATGGCTGACGCTATGGCCGCCTCTATGGCTGCCGCTGTGGCTGCCGCTATGCCGTTTATATATCACGTATATAATACGTTTAAAATTCCTTTTTTCTGGCGTGCGCCGATAGCCTAGGTTAAGAATGATGTCAAACAGGTCGAGTTTCGATCACGGCTGGAAGCAATCAGATGTCTAGCCACACTGATGAGCTGCGAAAGAGCCTCTCTGTGTATAACAATATATATATATATATATATATATATATATATAATAGAGAAGTAGTGATACAAAGAATAAATCGATGAAGTTAATGTAATTAATGGCGAATTCACTTCGCTAACAGATTAAATAAATTGAAAAATATTATCCATGCCTGATGAAAGGATTTATTGAAACCAAGTTAATAATCCGAAGTTTTTTTCTTTTTTTGTTTTCATTTTTAAAAAAAATATAATTATTTTTTAAAAAAATATGATTCCATCGGTACATAAGAGTTCTCATGTTTCAAAAACAGAAGCCAAAAACTTCCAAATTCAATTATAGAAATTAAATTAAATTAAAGTACCTAGTTCTGTTTCATTCTCAAGCGAATTTTGGAATAACTAATTTTGAAATTTACGGAGTTTTATAAGCATATACATTCGTAATTTTAACCTCTTATTTCACTTAACCTCTTTTCGGAAGTAACTAATATGTTGATACAATAGTTTCCAATGAAAATGAATACCCTACTGCCCCTTATGAAAATGATTGGTTTTCTCCATATCCATAGAAATTAATATTACGAATGTATATGCTTATAAAGCTCCGTAAATTTCAAAATTCGTTTGAAAGTGAAACAGAACTAGTTACTTTAATTTAAATTCTGTAATTGAATTATTATTCTGTTTATGAAATATGAGAACTGAGAACTTTATGTATTTTTTTTAATAATTATAATATATATATATTTTTTATATATATATATATATATATATATATATATATATATATATATATATATATATATATATATATATATATATATATATATATAGTTTGTAGATGGTCGATTGTAGGAGTTTTGGTATGACAAATTTCTTTAAAGTACGACATTCTACTGATGGTTTCTGTATTTTGAAATAGTTTTTTCATGTTATTTTCTTTGTAGTATTTTTATAGTGAGTACGTTCAGTTAAAACGTGTTTCACCATAAGTCAAGCTTGGCATGTTGTACATGTTGGTTGATTTTCATTCTTCAGCAAATATGAATAGATGAGCTATGTGTGACCTATGTGTAATCAAGGCAGCATTGTAATGTGAATACCGAGAAATTTTAAAGGAAATTAAAAACAAAATGTTCACTTAGACTTAAAAAGAGACAGCTGACATTTCTAAAATACAAAACAATGAAAGGGGGTTCGGAGAATTTGACATTCACATAACATACTGACAGCAAGAGAGGCAAGGTGAAACAGCGAGTAACGTACTTAACAGGCTTGGGTAAATGAATGACAGAATAGGGGGAGAATTTTACTAAACAATCATTACTAAGATCTAAAAATGGATAGGATGTTGTGGGGAGCCATGATTTGTGTTATTACTAATTCAGTTAATTTAAATTCAATGACAAACCATCGTTTCTGATGTTTCTAGATTTTATCTCAGTGTTCTCGTTAGTTCTATAGCAAGATGGACGGAACATGTGAATAACAAAGAGGAAAGAGGGTTTAGAGAATTTAACACACACACGACATATTGAATATAAGAGAGAGACAACGGTAAACGAGTTTAGGTAAATAGAAGGTAGAACAATAAACTGGAGAGTTACTAAGGAGATCCATGAAAGACAGAAAGTTGTGGAGGGCCATAATTGCCCTGAATGAACGTAGCACATAAAAGTGTCTCAGTATTCAAAAGGAATGTTATGGCGTTCGATTATCAGCTAAATTTGTTCATTCCTTGTCAACAAAAAAACAAGTCCTCCCTTGGGGGAAAGAGTTCACAGGAAGCAAATTTACGATACAAGATATAGCTGACCAATGGGAACCGGTAGGTATTTCGTGAGGAGAGAGAAAAGTTTAAGACACCGAATACTTCAGTTGACATTAAAGGAAATATGACTGACAACGAAGTCGGTGTCTCTGTTGGGTTGTGAATATTCGATTGAGATAAGTAGGTGCATAATTAGGGGAAGAAGAAAATAAGAAATGTCTAAAGTGAAATCGAGAAGAACAAGATACTGTAGCTTTTTGCCTTCGACCAGAATGCGGGGGAGTGACGACGAGACTTGCCTGAGTGAAATACACCAAAACTAGAATTGATTAAAGGGTGTGCGTCTAAAAATAAAGTACGAAATATGGAAACAAAGAGGTTTGAAATGAGTGGCGTGTTGGATACAAACGGTCAGTAGTAGTAATGGTAGATAGGAATGTAACTATTTGCATATGTTAAGTAAAGGAAAATTGGTTCTCTTTGTCGAACCAGAAAGTTTTTCTCGTCTGACTCCATTCTTCAAATCTATAAATCAACCAACCGCCCTTGCATTGAATATTATATATGGTCTAGTTCTCCCGCTGTACGTCTCGAGGTCCTCGACAAAATCCAGAGATGAATATGCAAAATGATAGGTCCTTATCTGGCATCTAGTCTACAATCGCTATCCCACAGACGTGCTGTGGTCACCCTGGGTCTATTCTACAAATATTTTCACGACAACTTCAATAGCTTCATCTACCGCCAGGAAAATTGGTTCTCTGCGTCGTGCCAGAAATTTTTTTGCTCGTCTGAGTCCGTCCTTCAAATTTATAAATCAACCATTCCTCCTTGCATGGAACATTGCTGTCATATATGGCCTGGTGCCCCCGCTGTACGTCTCGAGGTCCTCGACAAAATCCGATCGTATCCTTTATTCCTCGATAGATTTTTCTCAATCAGTTTTCGTGGCTAGCGAGTATTTTTTTTTTATCAGTTAATATTCACCATTTACTATTCACTTTTCATAGTGGCTCGGATTGGAAAATCGCAGAGCCGAGTTCAAATTCAAGTCGTTACATTCACTTACGCGGAACTACCTTTGTGAAAGGTTTGAATCCTGCAACAAACGACTCGCTACATCAGTTTTAACATCCGAAACAATTTCTTCTAGTATGTATTTAAACATTTAAAGCAACCCCGCTCAGCACACAGCAGTGATGTTCATTCACTACTCCATGTGCTCGGAAGTACAGTCCATCATCATTCATATTATATTATTTTCGCACATTGACCTACAGAAAGTTTATAAAATCTATAAATCAACCATCCGTCCTTGCATGGAATACTGCTATCATATATGGTCTGATGCCCCCGTTGTAAGCCTCGATGTCCTCGTCAGAAAGTTTTTCTCGTCTGAGTCCATCTTTTAAATCTGTACATCAACCATTCGTTCTTTCATGGAATATTGCTGTCATATATGGTCTGGTGCTCCCGCCGTACGTCTCAAGGTCTTCGATAAAATCCAGAGACGAATATGCAAGATGATAGGTCCTGATCTGGCATCAGGTCAACAGTCGCTTTCTCTCAGACATGACGTGGATTCCCTCTGTCTCTTCTACAAATATTTTCACGGCAACTGTTCCGACGAGCTACTTTCGCTGGTTCGCGGACTGCATGAATACTACGACTCCATGAGCTACGAGACTGGCATCTCGGTCTCACCCTTTCACTGTCGAAATAGTTAAATGTAAACTTCTCTTCTACACAAATAGCTTTTTCTCTTGCACTTCCCGTCTGTGGAATTCTTTTCCTCTTACATGTTTCATTGATAACTATAATCTTCAAATATTCAAATGTAATGTCAATCGACATCTTTTGATGCCTTGATCTTGTTCCCCGCTCTTCTCTTTATCCTTTCCTCAAACACGTATCTTTAATCTTGTCCTCTACTCTCTGTAGACCCTTGTGAGGTGATTTTCCAAGCGTAGCTCAGATGTGGCACAAGGCCGAAAGTATCGGGTACTCAGTGAGGATCGAACTCACTCGCAATAGTTCTGAGCGAGACAAGCTTGCTAACCATTACACCACCTCATTGGTACCCCAAGTGATTTTCTAAGCCCGGCTTAGATGTGGCACAAGGCCGAAAGTATGGGGTACCCAGTGAGGATCGAACTCACTCGCAATAGTTCTGAGCGAGACAAGCTTGCTAACCATTACCCCACCTAGAGGTACCCCAAGTGATTTTCTAAGCCCGGCTTAGATGTGGCACAAGGCCGAAAGTATGGGGTACCCAGTGAGGATCGAACTCACTCGCAATAGTTCTGAGCGAGACAAGCTTGCTAACCATTACACCACCTAGAGGTACCCCAAGTGATTTTCTAAGCCCGGCTTAGATGTGGCACAAGGCCGAAAGTATGGGGTACCCAGTGAGGATCGAACTCACTCGCAATAGTTCTGAGCGAGACAACCTTGCTAACCATTACACCACCTAGAGGTACTCCAAGTGATTTTCTAAGCCCGGCTTAGGTGTGGCACAAGGCCGAGGTCCTGATCTGATATCTTGTCTACAGTCACTTCTTCACATTCGTGTCGTGTCCTCACTCTGTCTCTTTTATAAGTATCTTCTCGGCAGCTGTTCCAACGGGATACTTTCGCTGGTTCCCAAACTGCATGAATTTAAGCGAGATACTAGGCTGGCAATCGGCCCCACCCTTTCACTGTAGAAACAGTTAAATCTAACAATCTCTTTTACTCAAACAGTTTCTTCTCTCGCGCTTCCCGTCTGCGAAACTCCCTTCTCCTTACTTGCTTCCCAGATGAATATAATTGTCTAATGTCAATCGATATCAGACTCCAAGAGCTTGTTCCCCGTCCTTCTCTGAATCCTTTCCTCAAACACGCCTCCTTACACTTGTTCTCAATCCTCTGTAACCCCTTGCATGCTAGTGGCACTCTCGCCTTGCTTGAGATGAATTGCTTTTAAAAAAATAAATAAAATACATATAAAGTGAATAGTAAACTAAGAGACAGACGGAAGTTGACTACTGATCACGTGTTGTAGAATTAGCCAATAAAACACCATCACAAAGAACACATTGAAACAAAATAATATTCAATTTGAACAGCCGGAAGTTTTGATTGCTTTATGTCATACAGCTTCTCATCCGGCATCTAGGCCTCTGAATGGGAGGTTTTGAGGAGCCTAGAACAACCTCTTAATTGCTTTTGTTCCCAGGTTCGCCCTGACCCGAGGTGGTAGCACCTATTAGGGCAGTCCTGGGTATGACGATAAACTACATCCGGCAGTAAGGCCTCTGATTAGGAGATTTTCAGGAGCGTGGAACCACCTCTTAATTGTTGTTGTTTCCAGGTACACCCTGACCCGGTGTGGTAGCACCTGTTAGGGTCCTAGCTATGGGCAAATAATGATTCCCCCTAACAAAAACAAAATACTTTGAAAGACATATTTATAGCAACAATACCGATTTTATAACCAAATAACCAATTCCTTTAGTTGAAGGCATAAAATTCGTTCCAAATATTTAGCTTTCTCAACTAAATAACCGAGAGAAATGTTGATATGCCGCTAACCAAAAAAATCACATGTTCCATAAAAAGAACATATACCTGTCGGCACTCTAACTTATCGGCGTTCTATCTGATGTCTCTAATGTAATGACTGAAAGAAAAGATGGTGTCCCTTTCCAAAGAATTCACATATTACCTTCTCATTGACTGTAAATAAACATTAATGACAAGATGACAAAATCAAGAATCAATCATATTCGATTAAATCCACCATTTTGTCCCAAAATGCCATCAATAAAAATCGACAAATAGTCATGTAGATAGTAAAATATTTAAGGCAGTAGATAACGATTGACATTGCATTTAAATTTTGGAAAATCAAATTTCGCTGGAAAGTAAAAAGGAGATAACCACAGGCGCGAAGTGCGAGAGAAGTAACTGTTAGCATAGAACTTAAGATTCCATCTAGAGATTTCAGCTGTAAAATGATGAGACCTTGCCGCCAATCTAGTACTGCGCTTAAATTCATAAGATTTAGGCGCCATAGAGAAAATTTCATGAAATAAGTTACCATGGAATTATTTATCGTAAAGGCACAAGAAAGCGACATTACAGTGGTGGAAAAGTGGCTGACGAAGAGATGCCTGATCAGGACCAATAACATTGCAGATTCTTTGGATTTTATCAAGAATCTCTAAATGTGGCAGCAATATTCGATGCATGGACGAATGGTAGACTTATAAATATAAAGATAGATAAATAAATATAAAACTTATAAATATAAAGATAGATAAATAAATATACAACATATAAATATAAAAATAGATAAATAAATTTAAACTTATAAATATAAAGATAGATAAATAAATATAGATTCTGATGAGAAAAAATTGTCTAATACGACACAGTGAACCAATTTTCCTAGCAGCAGACGTAGCAACTGATTCAATATAATCGTTCCACTTCATGTCAGCGGAAAATATTAGCCCAAGATGCAATGAAGGAGAAATGGCGGGGGGTCTCTCAGACAATTAATAGAGAGCAATTTTGTTTCGGGAGCGTTAAAATGAACAAGCCATTTCTTGTCACAATTTAGGTTCGGTTAACACTTCTCCTTGGACTTTTGAACAGAAGAAGAACTTTATCCCTTGTTTCCTGTTTAGGATTGGCTTTCTGGTTCCATGTAAAGTCTTCTCATTCTCTTTCACTCCCAGTAGCCCCTAGCATCTTAGTGAAATTATCACCTTGCTTGGGGTGAATTACTGACTACCAGAACATTCCAGGGATAACTTTATATAGAATAATGAATGTCCATTCTCTCTATAAGACAAAGATTCAAATTGATTTAATGTTTATGTCCAAATGCAAAAAGGTTATTCAAACTTATTAAGGACAATATTTCAAAATGTTTTACAATAATAATCCTGATAAATTGGCATGAACACCACCCAGACCCGATTAGAGAGATAGAACCTGTAACAATTTTATGAGACTTTACAATACACACAGACAGAACAATCGAAATTAATCACCCTGACCTCGTGAGCAAAGACCACAAATAACAGAATGTGGTTTCTTATTGACATGGCAGTCCCTGTTGATTGTAATCTAACTTTGAAGATCTCCAAAAAACAATCAAAATACAAGGATCTTGAAATGGAAATATAAAAAATGTGGTACATGAGGACGTCAGTAATTCTGGTTGTATATAGAGCCCTCGGATTAATTCGGAAAAGATTCCGATTGATTGGATATATTCCGAGCCATTTTCCATTGTACCACCCATGCATCCAAGCAGATCGGGCTTAACTTTGGTGATTGTAAGGTAACAGGCGTTTCAACACTATATGGCCGTAAGCCGAGCATTTAGTTTATTTAAATAAGAAATCTTCTCTCGGCAGAATCCATTGTTAGCATTGATAAATCTACCATTTATCCGTGCATGAAATACGACTACCATATCTTACTCCGAGTCTTCTTCCTTCTTCTCCTCCTCCTCCTCCTCCTCTTTGTTGAAAAAAACACTCCCTATACTTTTTTTTTTTTAAATACTAATTAATAAATTCAGTTTTTCTTTTGCCGAGGTTTATGCAAAAACCACGACACAACGAACGAAAGAATGAATGAATGATTTGAATTTTTGTTTTACGGCAATCAATGAATGGGTCATTTTTTTGGATTTGTATTTTCGTATGTTTTGTATTCTTTGTAAGAAATTTTTACAGATCAGAGTTTTGGGTTATTTTGTTTTTTTTCAATGGGTTATTTAATGCCGACAAGATTTTTAGGATTTCGCTTGAATAGAATATGCATCTTTGTAAGAAATCAGTTTGTAAATCAGAGTTTTGGTTTTATTTTGTTTTTACATATAGTTTGTAAATCGACGGGTCATTTTTTTTTTTTTTTGCCGACAAGATTTTTAGGATAGATTCGTATAAATAGAATATGTATTCTTTGTAAGAAATCAGTTTACAGATCAGAGTTTAGGTTTATTTCGTTTTACGGTATATCAGCCTCAATGGGTCATTTAATGCCGTATGAATAGAATATGTATTCTTTATCAGAAATCAGTTTGTAGATCAGCTTACATTGATGTATTTTTGTAACGAGGGTTTTTGTCGAGAGTCAAATGTATAGTTGTTAATTTTTAAAAAAATGTATTGCTGGTATTTTTACTATAAATATCTTTTTTTTTTTACTTCCGTAATTTTTTTTTTTTTTTACTTCCGTAATTTTTTTTTTTTTACTTCCGTAATTTTTTTT